CGGACAGTGTTCCCTACAGACTCCCCCGTAATCCCTGCATTACCCTCCGCTGCCTTGGGGACAGACAGTGTTCCTTACAGACTCCCCCATGCTTGCTTTACCAGTTGCTCTGTGCTACGTGCTTTGTTCCTGTTCACAGTGTGATCAGATAATGATCTTCACAAGGTCATGTGTGTTTGCTGTTGGTAAGTTTTGAGAGTTACAGCTGCCCACAGGAGACCTGCTTCCAGAGAAGCCTCCTGCCCTGGGTTGTCTAGAGACCTGGCGTGGGACAGCTTCACGCCCCTGCAGACAGGGGTGGTGATGGAGACAGGGGTGGTGATGGTATGGTACAGAGTGCCCTCGTGGTGATGCCATGCGCCGGGCACTCTGTATGCTCTATTTCATCTAATATTGAACGTAGCCCCTGTCAAAGACTCTCATCTCTCATTTTTCTTGATAAGGAAATTGAAGTTTCTGGAAGTTAGGAATAGTAATTTAAGCCACACTATTAGCAAGTGGTAGCTGCAGAATTAAAATCATGTCAGCTTGGTCACCAGAGCTCACTCTCTTTCATTGAGTTGCCTCTCAAAGTCTGAATTCCAGGCTGCAATGGCACAGGAGGTCTCTGAGCTGAATGTGGGAGAGGAGGGGTGGCCCTCTAAGTTAGGCCCCCACAAGCAGGCCCATGCATCCCTCCCAGCTTCTGAGCAAAAAATCTGCAAGCAAGCTACTCACATACCTGTCATCCCAGGAGGGCTCTGCCCCCAGCCAGACACCTAGGCTCCAACCCTCACTGCCCTGGCCTGGTGTCCATCCCACAACTCCACCAAGCTCTGTGTTCCTGGATCCAGGGTGTCCTTCACAGAAGTCCTGCTGCCCAGCACCCAGGAGCCACCATCTGTTGCTGGCCCATCTCTCCAGCCCCTCCACCATCCCAGCTTCTCCCTTTGCAGTGACACCCTGTTGTCAGCACCCAACTCCCACCTCACCGGCCCCTCTTCCTTCCCTCTCTCAGGGGCTTTCAGGCTCGTTCCAAACCTTCTCTTTAGTGTCTCTCCCCCCATCTCAGTCTCCACACCACAGACAGGTCTGCCCACCTAGGCACGGCTGCACTGTACTTGCTGCTTAGTGTCACCTGGTGGCCTCTTCTTGCTCGTGGGACTAACTGGGCTCTCAGCACCAGTGTGCAGGCCCCTGCCCAGTGTGGACCCCAGTCAGCCTGGCCACCTGCCCTTCCTCAGATGCCCAGTCTTTCCCTTTCCCAGCTCCTCCATCTGGAGCCCAGTTGTCCCCTCATTACTCTTAGCATCTGGCTGCCCAGCTGTGCTCTGTGCATCTCCTCCCAGGGGGAGCATCCTTCCCAGCACCCCACAACTGGGTCAGGGCCCCTATATACACGTGTCATGGCAGGGCAACCAGTGGCCAAGGTGGGCAGGGAGGCCCCTCTGTGTGTGGCACCTGTGGGACACACCTGCCCTATAAACACGGGTCC